AGCAGCAGCCACTGACAGGGACCAGAAAAGTGCAGGTAGGAACATTCTGAGGGCAGCCTGCTTCAATCTGACAAATATCACTGACTTTAGGAGTGAACCAGCCCATCCATGATGTGGACCAAACAGTGATTTATTCTAAAAAATCATGTAGTTACCCTCCAAGTTACTTTTTCCAGTTCCTCATTCTATCCCCAAAGTTGCTTTTCTCTCTTTTCTTCCATTCTTTTTAAAAAAGAGAACCTGAGATACCATTCACTAATAAAACAATAACAAATTCAAGGAGTTTCATATCTGATTGGGACTAAATCAAGTCTGTTCAAAACATATTTCATTTATGGTTTACTTTTACATGCTGAAAATGAAGGCTTTGTTCCACAGCACCTTTCTAACAATGGGAGATGCTTTAATCTAGATAAAGTTTCGAATAGTGGAAGGAAATTTAAGCCCATTGCTTCTTTCTCTGCCTCCTCCAACTCATGATCTTCCAAACAGACACCCAGCCCTCTTGGACAGATTTAAGGCAAGCCATTGGAGAGAGGGAATAATAGTACAAATTGTGTCTCTCCCTGTTTGACTGACAGAGGTGTAGGTCCTATACTGTCCATACATTTGTACTTCATCTGGCCGCATGAGTGGCTCTACTTTTCGCAGACTGGTGCAAGGAAGCAACCAAGTGGTTTCCTTCCCCCGTAACTCTCCTCCATGCTTTGTCCTATCACTGTCTCTTCCCCTCTCCACTGATGCCTTTTCCTTGTTGACGTAACTGCCCAGCTGGTATCTATTTTAGAAGAAGAACCAGCTGCCCCAAGTGATCAGCACGCAGTTGCATCTCAGTCCTGTATAAAAAACATACTTGTCCCTTAGAGGGGCTGGCACTTTGGCAAAGTGGGAGACCTGCTGGGCAGCAGCAACAATGAGCAATTGCTGTGGCATGGGCAAGAGGGGAGGTAATCTAATGTAGTTGCGTGGTGGTGCTGAATTGGATTTGGACTAGAACTTCCACTGGATAAAAGAGTCTTCTGCCAACAGAAGGACACACTGGATAAAACTCTAAGGTTATATCTGCTGGTGGTGTTTTGAAAAGCACCAAACCCATACTCAGTTGACATGCATTGGGCTTCAATAATGACAAACAGTAATATTTCACATGAACTATGGAAGAGCAGCGAAGGGGAAGAAGGTAGTTAGTTCCCCAGGGATCCATGCAATGGGGTGGCCCCTCCCTTGGCTTTCCCGCTGTTTTGGATTTTAACTTCCAGAGACCCCAACTAACACAGCATATTTTCACAGTGGTAAGACACTGTAAGAGCTGTAGCTCAAACACCCGGAGGATCAAAGTTTTCTCACTCCTTTTGCAGTATATAAAAGTAAAAATCAGTCACCTAATGTGTGGTTTCAAATCAATTGTTAATTAATGCAGTGTTTATTCTATGGTATCCATGATGCAGTTTTCTTCAAAAGTCCGTAGTCTCACCTGCTTTAATAACGTCCAGAATTTTCATGAAATAGTTGTAATAACCATTGTCTTCTTCTGTTCGAATCAGCTTGGTTTTGTACACTTGAGAACAAACAGAGACAAAAGTTAAAATGTTTGCATGTCTTTTACCATGGAGACCTCACCTCTTTAATAAAGGGCGAGACTTGAACTGCTGAATAGCTCAGTGGTTTAGGCAGAGGTTGGGAGTTTGATTCCCCACTGTGCCTGCTTAACAGCAGATGGACTCTGTGATCCATAGGGTCCCTTCTAGCTCTGCAAGTCTAAGATGTATCATTATTGTATTATTATTTACAGCATTCTTCAACTTAGAGAGCAATTACCATAATCTACTCCTGGCTTGCAGGCGAAATCAGTTCGCATTTGTAGATTAAAGTCTTCCTTCACCTTGTTGAGCAAGGAGCAGCTTTCTTTGGAAAAAAGAAAGGAAAAAAAAGAAAAAAAGAGAAACAAACAAAAAGAGGTCATTGAGCATTTTTTCAAGCTTCCTGTCATTCTCGTATCAGCCTGAACTTTCCTTAATAATACCAAAATACTGAGAGTGCATATTTTCACAAGGGATATCCTGTTCCTTTAAACAGAAACTTTCCAATCTCTGACCCGCCTGGAAGGGTACTTCTCCTCTTTCCTACTCATTCCCTTCTGCTTTTTTCTCGTTGTGATCACTGCCATTCCCAACAAGTGGAGGACCTGAAGGCAAAATCTCCTTCAGCAGGGTCTCCATGAATTCAGTGCTTGTCAAACTGTCCAAACTGGCTTTTCTTGAATCCAGGGAAGGGGCTGCAGAAAAGACAGGAGAGACAACAGCCTCCTCCCAACCTTACATTTGTTGAGGAGCTGAGTTCACAGCACTAGATAAGTTCATTACTGGCATGGCTTGAACACTTCTCCTAGCCAGCCAACATCCACAAGGTGGGCCTATATTGTCAGACCTATTGTCACAGCTGGTGGGGGGGAGAGACACCCAACTCCAGCTGGAGGCAATTCTGATGCTCTTTTTGGTTCTTGAACTTCCAGTGCCTCCTCTCAGTTGGGGTGGGGCCCATTTGCCAGGGTCTCTAGTGGGCAATGGGGCACGGGAGTGGTTTGTGAGGTATCAGTTCAAAACATCAGTGTCACGACACCTTCCTTAAGGCAGCTGAACTTGCACAAAAATGCCCACCCAGGAGCCCTTGATAATAGATATTATCTATCACCACTTCAGGACCAGCTCTAGCCCCCAAAGAGCCTTACCCCAGGTCTCTTCAACTGCAGACTCCTCTGTGGCCTCTGGGTTATTGGCTTTGGTGTACTTGTCTATGTCTGGTGTTCCTTCCTTCCCTCCAACAGCCTTCCACTCTCTCTACCACCACCTATGCCTCCTTTATTCCCCACAGCTACCCAGTCAGGCCCACCCTTTCCTCCTCTCACAGGTGGGTTTTTATCTGCTGCCTTCTCCTCCCTGTCCTGCTCCTCCACGTGCCTGAGGCTCAGTGGTTGCTAGCTCTAACAGGGCCTCCAGAGAGGCAGGGGCCAAGGACAGCCAGCCAGCTGGGGGTGCCAGAAGCCAACCTCCCTTATTGTGGTCTTCCACAGCTGTAACAGTATATCCACACTACATAGTTGTACAGTGGTGCCTTGCTTAACGACGTTAATTCGTTCCAGCGAAATCGCTGTAGAACGAAAACGTCGTAAAGCAAAAATAAAAAACCCATTGAAACGCACTGAAAACCATTCAATGTGTTCCAGTGGGCTAAAAACTCACCATCCAGCGAAGATCCTCCATACGGTGGCCATTTTCGGTGCCTGTATAGCAAGGAATCCGTCCCTAAGCACAGCGGGGAGCCATTTTAAGCACCCGGCAGCCATTTTGAAACCCCGACAATCAGCTGTTTTTGATCGTCGTAGAGCAAAAATCGGTTCACGAAGCAGGGAACCAATCATTGCTAAGAAAAATTCCCCCATTTAGACCATCATTTTGCGATTGCAAAAGCGATCGCAAAAACGTTGTTGTGAAGTGGATTCGTCGTAATGCAGTGTAATTGTTAAGCGGGGCACGACTGTATATTGTAACTGCCAAGGCACCACCATCCTCCTAGGAATCAAAGCTCGGTGCTGTCGGGTGAGGAGTCTCATCTGTATGTTCACAGGCTCAGCTCACTTGTTGTTCTTCTCCCCTTTCACAGTCATTTCTCCCAGCTCATGGCCTGCTCCTTTCCAGGCAGCAGCACACCCTTTTCTGAATGAGGCTGCCATTGCTCTCAGCATATTGAGTTTCCTAGAGTGCTTCTGGCTCCAGATGCACCCTGGAAGCCCTCTGGGGAAACAAACCTGCCTGAGTGCAACACCATGTTTGTTTTGATGTACACTCAACTTCATTGATCAAAGTGCAAGAAGACATGGTGGGTTTCTATCATCCAGTTTGGAGGGCTCTCAGGACTATGGCGGTTCAAACCAGCAGCCTGTGGTCCAGCTTGAGAATGACCTTGGAGAGAATCTCAGAAAAAACATTGTACTTCCCAGGTGAATAATCATTTGCGCCAGCTGCCTGTTAGTTCTTCTATACTATAGTTTAGAATTTTAACTTCATACTCGAAAGACACAATGATCAAAATATATTCTTAATGTTAAAAAAAATATATAATTCTCATTCAAGTCACTTTAAAAAGTTGCTTAAAATCTATTAGGTTAGATATTTTCACATATTATAAAAGCATGGCATAGCAGAGCATACGGCATTTCTAAATAAGTCATATCTTATTATGTGATTCTTACCACTCCCTGCAGAGATTCCCCCCCCTTCAATGAGTAGCAAAGGCTGCATCTTTCTCTGTTACAAAACATTGTACAATCCCCCTATATTTATACACTCTTGGTGTGGGGTATAGTCAAAACAACTTTAGTCAATGTCAGGGCCTTTCAACCTCTCAGTTTTTCAGCAGCTGAAAGTCATGGCATCTGGCCACTGCAGGATGAGCAAAGCTCAGATGCTGAGGATCTCAAAGTTTTGGCAAAATTTGTTGCCCTGAGCAATTCAATCTAGTTCTTATTATTGCAGCAAAATACAAAATGCCTATTATTATATATTATTTTATTTCCCCATTAAAATTTATTATTTTCACCCACCCTATTTTTAAATTGAAATTAATAACATGCCAATGTACCAGAATTGTACAGCCTTTTCCAATTGGAGCTTTCCTTATAGAATGTTTAAATTTTTAAAAATATCCAGGGACGGATTAAAATGCCAATACGGTTTTTAAATTTAAAATATTTTTAGACTACTTTTAAGGTTAAAGGTTTCCCAAGGCAGAATACAGGATGAAAGTGGGGAAAAAGAAAAGAAAAGGTAAGCCAATTGCCATCGGGTCGAGCTCGATCAGGCTCAGGGTCGACATGTGGAGTTTTTTTGTTTCTTCTTTTGCTGTGGTGCAGAAGCCAGTTCCAGAGAAGAAGGAGGAAGTCCTGGAGTCTCAGATTGTAGCACCACCGAGCCCTGAGGAGATCGAGGCAAAAGGCTTAAATGGGGTGAGGGAGTTAAAAACCAGATGGTATCAGGTGACCATGTCAGCAAACCCTCGAGCCACACGGTGCTGTCGATGAACGCCAGGTCAGTGCAAAATAAGACTGGACACATCCATGATGTAAAACAAGCACTTTGAATTGGGCCCGGGCAGCAACTGGTAACCAATGTAATTTAAACAGAATCAGCTTGATGTGTCCCCCTAGTGGCCCCACCACTCACCAGCCACACAGCTTGATTCTGGACCAGTTGCAGTTGCTGGACTGTCTTCAAAGGCAGCCCCACGTAGAGCACATTGCAATAATCTATACGAAATGTTACCAGTGTGTGTGTAACTGTCATGAGACTGCGCTAGTCCAGGTAGGGCCATAGCTGGTACAATTTCCGCAGCTGAAGGAAGGCGCCCTGGCCATTGAGTCCACTTGGACTTCCAGAGTTAGACTGGGGTCCAGGAGCACCCCAAGCTGCGGACCTTGTCTCTTAGGGGGAGGGTAAGGAGGTAATTCGTGCTCTTCTGCCAACTCCTGCGACATCGTTGGAACCAGTTGTATTGGCTCTTGCCTCTCCACTGGACTATTTCAGTGACATGGAGAGGGGGGATTTGCTGCTTGGGTAACAGCCTATCCTCCATATTGTTTTACCCAGGCTTCATGCCCTGGAGAGGACACTCCAGCTTC